ATGCGTGAAGATGCTTTGCTTTCATCACAACGGTTTCTGTAATTATTTAATTTTGCAGACCGTATGATGGAAGTACAGATCAAGCGTACAAGCAATGGTACTGCATGAACACACGTGCTAGCCTGGCCAGTCAGCCAGCTACTATACCAACACATCTCACACAGGAGGAGCAGGCGCGGAGACATATTGAGCTGCATGCAGCTTACTATCGTGACCAGATGGTAATCACTTGTAACTTTTTTAGGTTCATCATTTCAAAATCATTTGAACTAAATAAAATCCAAATATTGTTCAGCTTGAAAGTTGCAACGAAGTAGGGCAGATGGCTACGGACAGCATGCCGGCCCAGGGCACAGCTCGCCCATCATTCCAGAAACGTTTTCAACAATAGATGGCAACAAAGTTTAGATGCGGTAGAGGCGACGATGTTGTCACTGGAGCGTATAACATGCCGGTAGTGAGGTCAGCCAGACCAAGTGTGCCGCCGTCGTTCAGTCCAAGCGAGGCGCGTACGAGCCATGGGCAATGGGGGGAGGGTCCGAGTACTAGAACGACATTTCCACGACATGACTCATCTCTACCACTGCATCGCTCTTCTTCGGTGCAGCTTCGTCAGGGGCAGACATCTCAGGACCATGGCACGGGCTTGGATTCAATGCCCGAGCAGACTCTTTCCCCTAACCCATATGCGTACACAGGATATGATGCATACACCCAAGGTGAGGGATCTCAGTCGTATCTCTCCACGTGAGGGATCCCCATGCCCAAGGAGACTCGTGTACCAGATTTAAACTAGCACCACGTACCATGGCCAGACAGTACAGGCGAGGGATCTGATCAGGTAGTCATGTTTACATTTTAATGCATTTACAATGTTATCATATATTATCCTCTAACAGTTTGTTTACAATGTTTCTATGTGCAGGACATACATGATATTAATTGGGACGATGAGAACACCCAACGTGGCGTCAACACAGGCGTCCTGGGAGCATCACATCATCATGGCGACACGGTTAGTTACAGAGTTCTTCGGAGGAGACGTTATTGGCCCATCTTTTATCCCTGCGTAATCACAACCATACACCTACAATTACGCTTCAGGTTCGCAACAAGGATTCGCGACTCCACCACCTACGCAGGACTCACAGACACATGAAGCCGAATTGGAGTACGGCCGCGGTCTTCGTGTAACTTGGCCACCTAATCGTTTGTCGCCTTCCGGTCGTAAGGAAAGGCCAGGTGGTCGTCGGAAAGTAGGGTGATTCATCTATCCACGTGTGCGACCCATTGTATCTACATATGTCAGTATCATACTTTTCGATTTGAACATCTATGTATGCTGAAATAAAAATGCACCAGTCAGGAACATTTTTTCCCGCCTATATCTCCCGACATATTATCCCGCTCCACTCTTCGGCTTATGTTAGGCCGAAATGAATTTTTTTTAAAAAATTTGGCTAATGAATACTGTGCAAACATTGTCCATCTTAGACATTGAAAAAAATATATTTTCAGGCAACCCTTTCCCCTCAATATTTTCCCGCCAACACTTTCCCTGCATATGTTCTCGCCACCCGTTTCCCGCCAACCCTTTCCCGCCATATGTTCCCGCCAACCCTTTCCCGCCATACTGCAGTCGTTATTTCCTGCCATTTTCTCCTCTCTATCTATAAAAACCCCTTCAGACGGAGGTGGATAAGCATTCGAGTGTAGTGTAGTCGAGATGTCCCATTATCCTTTCAATCGTAGTTTTCACCCTGAGATGAGCAGGACTCTTCTTAGGCTAGCTACCGATTTCAGGATGGACAATAGGATAGTTTCATGGGACGAACTCACCGGTAGTGACACCATAATGAATGAGTTGGCTCACCAATTACGTAGGTTTGGGTGACCTGAAAGGACCTATGAGGAGGTGCGTAAAGAACTTCTTAGGTTGAATGGAAGGTGGAAGAAGGTAGTGGAGCCGAAGAGCGAAACTTTTAGAAGGACTGCAGAAAAGCATCCATTTTTATGGACTGAGGAGAGCGAGGACGAAGACGATATCTTCATGCCGCCGCTTCCGGGTTCTGCATCGTCAAAGGGCAAGAGTTCTGCATCGTCTAAGGGCAAGAGTTCTGCATCGTCTAAGGGCAAGAGTTCTACATCGTCTAAGGGCAACAGTATTGCATCCTCGAAGGGCAAGATTTCTGCATCGTCCAAGGGTATGAGTTCTGCATCCTCGAAGGGCAAGAGTTCTGCATCCATGGAGGATGACGATGATGCCTTCATGTAGTTTTTAAGCTGTATTCCAGTTCTACCCTTTAATTCAGATGTACTTGCACTATTAGTTTGTACTCTCTTATTGTAGGGCATTATGTTCTATCTTAATTTCATTCTATAGTTGTTGCACGATGTTCGATATTATTGGAGGGCAAGAAAATGCCACTACTTTATTCTAAAACTTTATGTTTTTTCCATTACAACACGGTACAACTGAAAATAAGATACATCGTAGAATTGAAATAAAGCTAAAGCTACTTTTAACTACTAAAATAAAGCTACATTAAACTGTAGAAATAAAGATACAAATGATTGCGAAATTTAAAATACTACCACAGGAATCTACTGAGTCCAGCGTGGATATTTTTCTTTTCCATCGCCAGCTTCTTCTGCTGCCTTGGCCTCACGAGCCCTTTCTTTCTTTCTCTGCCTCTCCGCCTCACGAGCCTCCTTTCGCTGTCGTTCCTGCTCCTCCATGCGACGAGCCTCTTCCCTGTTTTTCTTTCCTAAATCCTGAAAAAAATGGTGTTGCTCCGCATAATATTCTTTTAACTCTCTCTCTCTTCCTCTGCTTTCTCCTCAGCTTCCGCCTTCTCGCGTCGCTCTTCCGCATAGAAACTATTCCACGCACGGCGACTTCTTTCACGAATCTCAGTCACTGCCCAAGCCGGCATCTCCGTGTCAATCCAAGGATAGTATGTGCACAGAGGCGGAGGAGACTACAACAAGAAACAAGAATGTTATTAAAGAATCTATCAAAACACCAACAATATTTATTTGTGATGGTTAAAGCATACCGGAGGCTTGTCGTACTCTGAAATAGCTATGGGTGGATCTTCCTCATAATTGGCGCACATGAAAAACTTCATGCCCAACCAATCTAAAAAATCTGTAACCTCCTTCACCTTGCAAAGATCGCCACACCAACACCGCAGGACTGCCACCCCCGGAGGCAAACTTGCGTTCTTCATTTTCCTCGGCCTAATGCTTTGATCCGAGCAAGGCAAACTCATACCGACTGAAAAAATGTGTTATACACTTTGCGCAGTGGTAATTTCAAGGATGGCTGGACGAGAGCCTCGGTGTCTCCCTTTATAAGCTCAGACGATAAATAATGGCGAGAAAATTAAGCGGTAAATTTTAGGATCCCTGTAGTGTCGGCACAACAGCTTCCCGCATCGAGTGACTGATGCCGTCGCATCCGCTCAAGCAATAGCCGGAGCGATTCTCACAGTGCTGTCCCATCTGCCGAGGCAAAAGAAGCTAAAGCAGGACTGATTCCTGCGCGAAAGAACCTAAAGCAAGGCATCAGCGTGCATTTTCCCGCGCGTGGGAATCACCGCCGTCAGCGTTGCTGTTGCACACGGGAATCAGCGCCATTTGCAACAGGAAAGGTGTCGGGCGTGCGAAGGAAGAAAGATGCCGCCTCCTCCGGTGGCAGCCTGGCCCACGCCTCGGCCTGCGCGCAGCAGAGGCTGTCGGACGGGGAGCGACAACGGCAGCTCTCGCCACCTCACCTAGTGGCGGCCGGGCCCACCGCTCCTGGCCCATTCTGTTCCAGCTGTTGCACTGTGCAAGAACCCGTTGTGACCCGCGCGGCCGCCTCCTGCGGTGGCGGCAGGTGCCACGTGTCGCCTGCCGCGCCTGCCGCCACTAGTGAGGGGTCCTTTTTGACGTTTTTATCTGCAGATAGTCCTTTTTGGCAATAGCGTTTGGCAGGGGGTCCTTTTGGACAAAAAATCGTCTGGGGACGGTGGAGAAGGGAGGGAAGCAAACGGTTTTTGTTTTCTTTGAGATGAATTCAGAAGCAAACAAGTGCAAGCAAGCGGTTGGGGATAGGAGGACTTCTACTCCTGCGGTCCTGCTCTCTTTGGTAAACAAAAATATATAATACGTTGTAAGTCACTTAGTTTTCATTTTCAAGCAAGCCGCGCCGTCCTTAGTCCGAAGTAATTTCAGAATTGCTCACCCATATACTGTTGCGTTCCTGACATTTTTTTTTGGAGAGAGGATCTTGATAACTTATTTCTGCGCAATGCTCTCGCGAGCAGAGAAAAGGGAGAGACACCGAAATTAAGAAATGGGCCAATCAAAGAATCGCTTATTTCTAAAGTCTGTGGACTCTAAATCTTTCAATTCGAACAATGGCGGGATCAATGATTGAAGATCGTGTGACCCAGCACCGGCGAATTGGGGGATTCTGCCGCACCTCCCGTTGGTCGACAGCAAATCCACCTGCCATTCATCATGGAATCCGTCCTTGTGTGCATAGCGCTCGCTAATTGGGCACGGTTCGTCGCCACACACACAACAAGACGCCCAGCCCAGCCCAGCCCAGGCCAGTGAAAACTGAAAACGATCGCAAACTCTCTCTACAAAAAGAAGAGAAATATTTGCAGTGGTGATAAAACTGACGATAGGGACATGCAGTTTTGGAAGCAAGCAGAGCACACACAAACCAAACCTACGATGACATCAGTGGAGTCCGAGAGGGGGAGCCCGGCCCGGCCCTTCTTTAAGATCACCACCCGCCCCCATTGCCATCTCCCACACCTCTCTCTCTCTCTCTCTCTCCCTCGTCATCTTCGTCTTCTTCTCGCCCGGTGACACTCGAGAGGGAAGGAACAATTCACCAGCTAGCTTGCGCTTGCTTGATCTTCTCTGCTGCAAGCCGCTGATCGGTTCTTTCCGGGAGGGAAGCGTCGGGGTTTGGCTCTTCTGTCAGGCTGGCTCTTGACATGTTCAGATCCAAGGTCCAGGAGATGATCCTCAGGAGGAGGTCCAGGTCCATGAACGGCGCCGCATGCGCGCAGCACGCCGGCAACTCTTCCACGGCCCCGTGCGACGCCGGCGGCAAGGCTGCTGCTACTGTTGCTTTTGCTGCTCGCGCGCCGTTGTTCGCCGCGCCGAGGCTGCTTCACTCGTCGTCGCTCCCTGCCGGCGACCGCGCCGCGGTCATCACTGGGAGCCCCGCGCGGGACTCCGAGACGACGGCCGCCTACGCCATGAGCCCGACCTCCGTGCTGGACGCATCAGCGGCCTTCGGCTCGACCGTGGACGCCGGCGGGGGCAAGCGCCGGCCGTGGTGCGACGGGTGCGCGGGCCCGCACGGGCTCGCCGACGTGCTCGACTGCGCCCACGAGGCCCAGCGGAGGAAGAGCGTCCTCCGGAGCACCGTCAGAGCGCAGGCGCCGGCTCTTGTCAGGTCGTGCTCCCTGGACCGGCGCGTGGAGTTCGGCGTCAAGAACAAGAGCTCATGGCTGCCGCTGCGCGCCGCCCGCGCGGGGGCGGCCGAGGAGTCGGAGGACGGACCGTCGTCCGAGGACTACACCTGCGTCATCTCCCGCGGGCCCAACCCGCGGACGGTGCACATCTTCGGCGACCGCGTCGTGGATTTATCCGCTTGCAGGTGATTACCACGGAGAAGAGCTACACGGGGAGAAACTGTGTTGGCGCTGCAGGGACGAAGCCTCGACGCCTCAAAGCAGGAGGAGGTGCTGGCCGCCCTCAAAGTGTCGACCTGTCGACGCACAAGATACCGGTGAAGATCAGGAACGATAAGAAGATCAGGAAGCAGCCTCTTGCTTGGCCTGCAAACAGTGCCACATCACAGGTCCTAGTCCCTGTGTTGTGCCATGAGAAGCAGAGAGCACAAGGAAGGAATGTGTCGACAAAGTTGTCGGAGTAGGTTCGGCTACCATTTTTGACCTATAGCACAGAAGCTGCTTAAGCTAGCCGCTTCAGTCGAAATGCCGCCATCTTTTTGTTAGTAATTTGTGAGCTGTGACTTGAAATGTTGACTTTGTCCTATACAAATTGTTGTTGATCTACGCCAAGCGGTGTGAGTTGGGTTGAATCTACACCAAAATTGTTGTGTCACAGGATGGCTTACCGTGTGACAATTACCATCAGACGAGTTCGTTTCTTGGAGAATTATTGCTGCGTCTTCCCTGATTGCTTCGGCGTGACGTGATCTCCGATATGACGGCGGCGAGGACAAGGTTCGTTTCCGTGCAATGATGGTCTCAAGTCTCAACGTGACGCGCCTGCCCGTTGGCGTTCCTCTGAAGAGCTGGAACGAGCGGCCTGCAGCACATGTCGTGTCTTCCTCTCAAACAGAGAAGAATATTTTCCAGCGATCGCCGGTTTGTCTTCATTTCGTACGTCAGAGTTGAGAAATTGTCATCCAGGGCCAGACGGAGGGTGCTAATCAGGGACCCGGCCGCGGAACTGATCCTTCTTACATAAGATAAGAACCCTATCTGAAAACTTAGAAACAAAGTTGTGTTTGACAATAATAGGGTCAACTGACCCATGTGTTTCGGTTAATACGATCATAAAATGGTTACATGATTGAAATATCTTGCAGAAAAATCAAGGAAGAATAAAGCGAATGACGACAGGAGTAAGACAGGTTAAACAGGTTCAAGACTTGAAGGATGAAGTGGCCACTTTCTCCTTGCTGGAGATGAAGATCTTTCTTTCAGCAGCCTAGTTAGCTTGCTTTTCCTGCTGTGTCGTAAAGACTTTTATGTGTCTGACATAAAAATGTTTGGTTCTATCTGGATGTTGCGGTCAGGGCACGTTTTGCCCGTTCTAGGTTAACACTCCGAGGCCTGTGTTGTGTGTGAGGCATGTCTATGTAGGTTGCTGGGAGGAGGGAGGGATGACTCCCTCTCTCGTGGCAGCTCCTGCCTCTTGGTTATGTCCTTTTAGCTTTGTAATCAAGAAGACATTGTGTTTTTTATAATGAAAATCGAAGAGGGGCTCTCTTCATAAAAAAGAAGAAGATAAAAAACCCCACTTGGCGGTGACTAATTACAGAGAGATTTTTTTTCGGGAAAGATTAGTTGCGAGGAGATGCAAAGGTGAACATGGTCGATGAGGTGGTTAAGGGCATCTCCAACGTCAGATGCTTAAACGGACGCCAGGATATATTTTCTATTGATTTCCCGGCTGATTAGCAGTCGGCAACTACTACAAATCATCCGACTTATTTCCTAGCAAAAACAGTCGGGTCACCAGCCGTGCGATCCATTCTTTCCAACCCTTGATACATCAACGCACTCCGAGTCGCTGACCCTTCTCTCACGCGTCGCGTTCAACCAGCCCCCGTGCTTCGATCTCACAGCACCGCATGTCGCCGCAGCACCGGAGAGCTGCCATGACCAGAGCTCCATAGCAACACCAAAACGCTACGTCTAGCGGCTGGCGAGCGCTCCGGCGGAGCTGCAATGGAGCCGACGGCGAGCGCTCCAATGCAACACCAAGAGCTTCCCTTGAGAGCCGCCAGCGACGTTGCATCGAGCCACTGCGGCGCTGCACTGAGCCATCGACGAAGCTCCAATGCAGCCCCGGCGGAGCTCCAACGACCCCGGCGGCGCTCCATTGCAGCCCCGGCCGCGCTTCATTGCAGCGCCGGCGATGACAGCGGATGCTGCGATGCAGCACGCGGCGGCCATGGCGGAAGTTGCGATGCAGCGCACGACGACGACGGCGCAGGCTGCTTCGCCGGAGCTGCAGTGGAGCAGCGGTGCAGCGACGCGAGGCGACGGCGGTTTGCAGCAGCGGCGAAGAGCATGGCGTGTAGGAGCAGGCATAGCAGAAACGCGAGTGGTGGCGGGCCGGCACTGGTGCCGATGGCGCTGCCATGGCTGTGTTGTGCCGCAGGAAGAAGAAAAACGAGGAGAAGAAACCAGCAGCTCAACGCGTGCAGGAAAGAGATAAGAGAATGAAAGGATAAGCAGCTCGTTGGGCCCACCAGACACGTGGCGAGCGTTAAAGGCGACTTACGGAGCGCGTTGATTAGTCGGTTTATTTTAAACGATTTCCTTGGCAGTTAGCCCATCAAATCCTAGCTCCAGGTGTGGCATCGATGCAAAGGTTTGCATCGGGCGCTAGGCCTCTTTTCTTCGCTCCGCCAGGCGTACGTGGTTGTAATTAGCGCTTGAAGTTAGCGCTTAGCATTGAGAGGGTGAGGCGCTTAGGTATTTTTTTATTTTGTGATATTTATTTTTTTCCTTCCTAAGCGCCTCTTCAAGCGTCCAGCATTGAACATGCTCTAAGAGTTTTCTCGCGGAACCTACTATTGAACAGTGCTATCCTGGTAGATCCAGTTGATCCTAGTGACTCTCTCTCTCTGCCGGTTTTGTAAGTAACAGTTCTTGCAATCATGAACCCTAAGGACATCTCCAACGGCGACCCACAAATTTTGTGTCGCATCCGTCCATAGACACGTATTGCGGGAGGCCGACATCCAACGTCGCACACATACGTCCTGCCTCCCTAATTTTTTTTGATAGAGCCCGCACGTGTTTCAGTAACCGCATACATAGAGTTCAGACATTTAAATAGCCGCATGCAGTAGTAGTTCAAATTTAAACAAGTTTAAATATTACATTCCAACATTGTTGTTCCCTTTAACCGTCCACCGATGCTCAATCAGATATTTGTTTAGCTGCTCGTGAGTTGGTCGATGTTGAAGTTGTTGATGAAATTTTAATACACTCTTCAAATGTGGGCGGATTCTGGTCTGGAAGTTCGATAAGATCACCCATGTTCTCAAATTTTAGAGTTGCGGCGGCATCCTCATCCTCATCATCGATGATCATATTGTGAATGATCATACAACATGTCATCACCTCCCACAAAGTCTCCGGATCCCATTGTTTAGCAGGTCCATAGACACACTACAAAACAGGCCTGCAGAACTCCAAATGCCCTCTCGACATCCTTTCTAGCTGCTTATTGTCTTTTGGCAAAGTGAGACTTTTTCTGGCCAACTGGATTAGAGATAGTGCTGACAAAGGTAGACCACGAAGAATAGGTACCGTCCATTGACATTATAGTGGCAAGGAGGAGCTTTTTCTTTTGTCAGCCTCGCAAACAACGGTGATCGTTGCGGCACATTGATGTTGTTGTGAGACACAAGGATTCCAAAGAAAGCATGCCAAATCTAAAGATCATGTGATGCAACTGCTTCAAAATGATGAGGAGCTTCTTAACATGACCCCGATATTGCCCTTATAAAGCCTCCAGGCAGTTTTGTGACGCCCCCGATTCAATCGTACACTAATCATACACGCAAACGTGTACGATCAAGATCATGGACTCACGGGAAGATATCACAACACAACTCTACAAATAAAATAAGTCATACAAGCAGTAAAGAGAAGAGTAGGCGATATCTAGTGATCAAAGGGGGGGGGCTTGCCTGGAAGCTCTGTTGTACAGGGAGAAGGGTCGTCGGTGACGTAGTCGTACTCGGTGGCATCAGCGCCGGTCTCGGGGTCTACCGGAGAAGAAGAGGGGGAAGAAACAGTAAATATGGAGCAAACAAAGCATCAGAAACATAACGAGGCAATACGCGGTGCTAGGTATGCCCTAACGCGGTAGTAAGTGATACCGGCGAAGGGGGGAAACATCCGGGAAAGTATTCCCGGTGTTTCGCGTTTTTGGACAGATAAACCGGAGGGGGAAAGTTGTGTGTTTGCTATGCTAGGGATGTGTGGCGGACGAATGGGCTGCGTAACCGGATTCGTCTCGTCGTTCTGAGCAACTTTCATGTACAAAGTTTTTCCATCCGAGCTACGGTTTATTTTCTATGATTTATCAAAGTTTTAATGATTTTCTAGAATTTCTGAAATTGTTTAATTCGAATAATAAGCAGAATAAAGTTTTGCCACCTAGTGCTGAAATTGCCAGAGTGTATGATAGTGGGCCAGGGGGTCCAACCAGCATGCACACTCAGCAGTTGACCAGTCAACATTGACTGGTCAAAAGGGTCAGCGGGGCCTACATGTCATTGATAGAATGACTTGTCCTTTATTTTAACACGGTATTTAAGTGAGGGGCCACTGTCATAGGGTAGTTAGACTAATTATCCTAAATAATTAATTAACTAAAATAATTAATTATTTCACTAATATTTCTTTTATTTACTTTTTTAGGGGTCGGCCCCACTTGGCAAGAGGGGGGGGGGTCATAGCCGGCCTCCGGTGGCTGGGCAGCACGCACGACCTCGCAGAGGAGGACCGGCGGCCATGGCTAGAAGCAGGCGGGGCCGGGCTCAGGCGGTAGCCGGCGGAGCCGGCGCAGGCGGGGCGCGGCAGGGGAGGCCGGAGGCGAAGAAGAGGGTGGTCGCGGTGGCTCAGCGGAGGCGGGGCGGCGAGGGGGAAAGCGGGACGCGACGGCTGCAGTCGCCAGCGGCAGCGGCGAGGAAGGAGAAGCAGGGGGCGCGAGAGTAGGTGAGGGGGAGGCCAGGACGGGCGCGACGGGCACGGGGCGTGGCCGGGCGTTGCAGGCCCCGCGGCCAGGGCGTAACGGGCGGCCGGCAGCAGCGCAGCGGCGGGCGAGCCAACAGCCCCGAGCAGCAGAAGGGGTAGGCAGCAGTGCGCACGGGGAAGGCAAGGCA